AAAAATTAGCTGGGTGTGGTGGCATGTGCCTGTAGTCCCAGCTACTCAGGAGGCTGAGGCCAGAAGATCACTTGAAATCAGAAGTTTGAGACCAGCCTGAGCAAGAGCAACACGCTGTCTCTACCAAAAATAGAAAAAAATTAGCTGGGTACACACCATCATGCCCAGCTACTCAGGAGACTGAGGCAAGAAGATCGCTTGTGTCCAGGAGTTTCAGGTTACAGTGATCTATGATGATGCTGCTACACTCTACCCAGGGCAGCAAGCAAGACGCTGTCTCAAAAAAAAGAGGTGGAGGAAGTCCTGTCAGCTTCTCAGTTTTAATGTAAGCAGTTTATATTGATGTCACCTAGAAGTTCAGACATGAACAGATTCACTAATGGAGATTCCTTTTTCTGTTGAATAGGGAATATTTGAATGCTTGGAACATCAGATCTTGTAAAGGTGTGTCTGTAGGCTGTGCTCTTGGTAAGAGCAGAGCAATCTTAAACCTAGGTTTTCATACAAAAGTAACAAAAGGGCATTGAGACCAAGGGCTAAAGCTGGAAGACTGAAAAAAATGCAGACCACCGGGGCACTATTCATTTCACCAGCTCTGATCTGCTGTTGCACCAGGGGTCTAATCAGGCCTGTGTCTGCCTCCTTCCTGAACAGCCAAAGAATTCATCTAAACCTTCCTACAGCAGCTCCCTACTCCAGGTGGCCAGACAGCAGTTCCAGACCAGTGTTGTCTCCCAGGGCATTGATACAGCAACGAAGTTTATTGGTGCTGGCACAGCCATGGGGGGTGTGGCTGGTTCAGGGGCTGGCATTGGAACAGTTTTTGACAGCTTGATCATTGGCAAGCAGCAGCACTTCTCCTATGCCATTCTGGGCTTTGCCCTGTCTGAGGACATGGGGCTCTTCTGTTTGATGGTCACCTTCCTCATCCTCTTGGCCACGTGAGTCTCCATGGGGGTCACCTACCCGTCCCTGCTGCTGCGACTCTATGCCATTCCTGGTGCTGGAGTGTGCTACACTTTACCATTAAATACAACATTGCTCTCCAAAAAAAAAAAAAAAAAAACCCAAAAACAAACGTAACACAAAACACAGTTTTTATTATTTTAAAGTCTCAGAGATTAACCCAAGCACTGTTAAACTAACACATTTATATTTCAGAGTCTGGCATGCATTCTGGATTTTTTTAAGGGAATCATAATTGTATGTATACCACTGCGAATTAGGCAATAATTCAATGATATATTTTTTAGGAGAAGTAATGAATTAAATTCGTAACTCAGAATGGAATATTACCTACTGGTTGTCTATCTACTTTTAACAAACATTGACTGACGATCTCAGTACTAAATATTGGCCTATATGTAGTTCTTCTTTAAATTTATTAATAAAAGGAACAGGCCAGGTGCAGTGTGGCTCATGCCTGTAATCCCAGCACTCTGAGAGGCCAAGGCAAAGGATCACTTGAAGCCACGAGTTCAAGACCACCTAGGGCAACATAGTGAGACCCCATCTCTACAAAAATTTTGTTTAAAAATTTAGCCGGGTGTGGCGACACATACCTGTAGTCCCAGCTCAGGGGAGGCTGAGGTGGGAGGATCACTTGAGCCCAGGAGTTTAAGGCTGCAGTGAGCTATGATTGTGCCACTGCACTCCAGCCTGGGTGACAGAGTGAGACCTTATCTCTAAAAAAAAATTAAAGTTTAAATTAAAAAAAAAAAGGAGCAGCTGCATTTATTTCTTCAGTCATGTTGACATACTTTATTGGGTGGAGCCCTGATTTAAGGACAGTTGAGGCTCAGCACATTATCCTCCAGGCCCCCAAGTGGCCAACATCTGAAGAGCAGAATTGTTACTTCCAAAAAGGGCCTCAGAGCATTTGACTAGCCTTCTAGTGGAAACAGTGATGTCTTCCCTGTAGATGTATGAAAATGTCAAGCTATTAAAACATAAATATACCGTGACGAAAGAGTCGTCTAATTCATCTGTATATGCAGAGCACTCTAGGGGCAGGTGAGTGTGGGAGCAAAGAGGGGCCTGGGCAGAGGGGCAGGGTTGAGCTGCCAGAAGGCCCAGATGTCCGCTGCAGTGAGCGGGGCCGGGAGCAAGGTTGGAGAGCAACAGGCAAGTGAGGCAGTAGGACGCTGTATCTGTAACTCTATCTCCCAAGGACGACTGCCCTGTGCAGGTGCCAGGTCATTCCTGCTGGGTGGGGATGGATGACTTCTATGTCATGTTTACAGAAACGGACTGCTTTATGGAGAGAGTGAAGGTGATGATAATGCCATACAAGAAGCTCATATAAGAAGATTGGAAGATGAGAATCAGGATCTATGGCAAGTGGAAGCAACCCTGCTTTTTTTCCCTGGGGGAGACGTTACCTCATCCCTCAAGGTTGCTCACAAGGATACAGACACAACCCTGAGAAATGGCCCAGGTAAAGAGCAGTCAAGGGATTGTATTCTTGGCCTACTCAGCAAGAACATACAGGAACACTTGGAGTCTATGACAGCGTATTACTTCCCTCACAATTCACTCCTCCGCTTGACACATTCT